ACCCATTAGTTTCAGACTAAACCTTGTTCAAGTCCCAACACTCAAAGCTGAATTACTTGATTGTCTTAACTGTAGTTTGACTGTTAAACCGGAAGATTAAATCATCTTTTTTCATTTCGCAAAATAATTATAAACATTCTGCCCCCATCAAGCACATTAATTGCCAATAGTCGAGCCATTGTGGCTTCGCCAGATTAAATTGATTTACTAGTCTCCAAGAGGTTGATTAGGCCTCACACGGTCAATCTTCTGTGAAATATGGCCCGTTGATTCAGCATCATTGAGTGTAATTAATATCGTCATTTTGTTGCAGATTGTGATCACCCATGTTGAATCGTTTGAACGATTTTGCCATGAATGCAACCGACCTTCTCATGAGAACTGGAAACTCTCAGGAACTTATCGACGGTCTGGATCAGCCCTCAAAGGCCATGGATCGCGATGAAAGTCTTGCGAAGATCGAAATTGGCACTTTATTGGGCATATTTTTTACCACAGTTGTGGGCAATGGCACAGTTTTATGGGCTTTGTGGACGCGAAAAAGGTAAGCATTTTGTTTGGCTCAAATAAGACCGCTTGATTCGACTAGTCGAGCTAATTTGTTCGTTTTATGCAAGAAAATGTGTTTTAGAGGATATATTCGGTCGGATCAATCCACGATTGTGCCTAATTCGGAAAGTTTTAATGGGGCAAAATTGTCGGTAGGAACCGGGTCCAAATTGCTTTCAGAGACTGTCCGAAAGTGAAAGTTGCTTAAAAAAGTTGAACGTTTTTTCGCTAATCTGGGCAAAACTTGACCACATTTCAGGGCCTCCTGAAGAGACGAAAGAATCTAAATCAGTGTACAGTTTAAAGTTTTGCTGATAAAATAAGACAGTGGAAGTTTTGGGATTTTTCGAATCACCATTTTATTGTTAACTTTAATTCTTTTTGTTTGTTCTTCGGTTCTTTTTACAAGGTTCATGTGAGTATTAAAATATTCATCATGCTCTTGTTCTTCTGCTCTACGGATGTTGCTTATAGCGTTTTTTCACAAATTTGTATTAATTAATCCTTGTTCTACAATGGTTTAAAATACTGGATTTTGGTATTTTTTAAATAAAACTAGCCGATTTACTCACGTAGCGTTTTATGACTCATTTAATTTTACTAATTTTTATCTATAATTTGAGTGTGTCGTATCTTTTAATGAAAAACATCGTTTTTTATTGTGAAGTAAAAACGCCTTTATCGATTTGTAATAAACGACTTGAGGAAATACTGTCTTTTTTAAAGGGCAAAAATTATCGAGGCGAAGCATCTTGCAAAAAAGTTTTGAAAGCAAAAGAAAATAATTGTGCGGTTTGTAAAAAATTTCGCCTTTTTTTCGTCTAAGGAAGCTAAATAAACCAGGTTCAGTTTATCGAAAAAGTGATACACTTTTCCTGCCATTCGGTCTGAAGATGCAAGTCACTCGCGCTTGCGAAACGTCAGCAAGAAGTTCCATTTCCCTATGGTCTAAAAACCCGAAAAACCAGTTTTAGGTTCAGATTTCGCGAATTTTTACATAATAATTGGAAAGTAACCTAATGGAGAATTACATGTACAATAGGGTATTTTCATTGTATCAAAAATTCCTACAAACTGGACATTAATCTATGATAATATATATATATATATATATGAAAGATTGAATAAGTTTGTACTAAGTATCTAATGTTATTTTGTTAAATAGTTAATAAACAAATTCAGTTAAAATTCAAATTATTCATGAATCTCTAAAACGCAATCCTATTGGTTGTTGCGTCACTGATCATATAAATGGCGGATTTTTTACATTCTGTGCAGTGTTTAGTTGTGTGACTGTGTTTCATTAATTATTTTGTGGATTTAAACAACTTATAATTTTCGTAAAACTACAAAATGACTTCATAAGGATTCCTTAAAGCGTCAACAAACAATTTGGCATGCGTACATATTTTTATGGTTACCGAAGATTTAAAAAACGACGAACGCTTCTATTCCGCCGAACTTAAGGGTGTCAAAGCAGCAGCGTAAGTAAAAATCCGTAAATTCATTATTAGTTACTCTCTACTTAATATACTAATCTGTTTGTAGTGGTTTAAATTAGGTAAATAATATACAAAATTTCACTTATTCAACTTAACCTAACCTATAAACATGGCTGTGTTAAAAGTAAAATGAACTCTTAAATTTGAATTTTGGGCATCACGAGAACAATATGGTGATATCGGAGATGTAGAATTGAAACTCGAAGGTTCTTTGTGCACTGTACAAAGTAGAATTTGCCCAGAACACAAAGTAGGATCGAAGGCATATTCTGTCTGCCTCATCATTAGCTTTTTGTTCGTACTTTCATTTACTTTGAACCATAAAACTTTACGTGCATAATCATGAGGAACGGTTAGAGAAAGTTTGTTTGGAGCATTTCTTGAGGTATTCTTGCATCCTGCCACAAAACACCATTTATTTTGTGATCCATACATGTCACTACTTTCCATTATGCAAGATAATAATAATCAATAAAATAATGATAATCACAATAACTTAAATAATAAAACAAAACTGCGAAAACAACAAAATAGACACGAGACACTTTGTTGATATGACCTGCTACGTCACAATCGGGATAGGCAACCGACGATACGGATTCGGCGTTTTTGGCGGAAAATATCTGATTTGAATTTAAATTCGCTTTAAAATTATTATGAGACTTTTTTTGAACGAACTTGCTTTCTTCTGTACATTTTTGTACGCTTCATTTTTTTCCCCTGCTTTTGCCCTCTGATTCAATAAAGCCTTTTCCACTGATTGAAGTGAGTATTTTTACAAATTTCTACTCACTTATTCTTCTTTAACGATGCATTAAAATACTCCTGTTAATGTATTTTTAATAGAAATAGCGGAGAAGTTTTCTGCCTCAACTTTTGTCCAGAATTTAAATTGTCGTGCCTTTTCATAGAAGAATCGTCCTTTCTGATGAAAGAAGCGCGCCTCTTTATCACTCAGTCAAAAACATGAAATCTGTCTGTTTCAAGACGAAAATTTTGTAGGCAAAACAACTCGCATTAAAGCATTGAAAGCAGAAAATAACTGTGCAGATTTACTAAAAATGTCGTACCCTGTTCGTGTAAGAAAGCCAAAAGAAATCAGGAGTTTTTCTCATTGGGTTTTCTGCTCCTTAGATCAACAAACCATGTTTCTCTTAATTAATTAGCATTTTTGGTCGAGCCTTTCACTATTTTCAACCGGCTTTTATTGCCCTTATTAGGTTGAATCGGCCGTTTCTCAACCCTTAACAGTTCGGAACTTAACTTCGAGGTGAAATTCCACTTTTGCTTGTTTGGAATGTTCCAATTAAAACGTTCTTCTTGAAAGTGAATAGTTATCAGCGTCTCGTGCACTGGAGGTTTAGTTTTATCAACGTTTAACGAAACGCGTGGAAAAATAATTGCAACCTGGGGGGGATAATCATTGGGTGATATGAGCCAAACATGCTTTTTTTTCTTGTTGCAAAAGTAAAAATATGTTTTAGCAAGTGGCTAACGAGGCCAATTTTTTGTCTTAGTGGGGCTCATGATCGGAAGCAGCTATTGATCAGAGGCATTGCTGCAAATCTGTCCATGTTAAAGTGAAAATGATTTTTGATATGACGCGATCCAACTATCACGTTCATTGATTAATCAGGCAGATGTGAGTCGCCTATTTGCTCTGGACTTAAAATGGGAACGGAAACAGCCACTCCTGACCTAATTTAATTTTAATCAAAGCACTTAAACTATGCATATTTTCCTGCACATTATACGCTAATTAACAACTGCAATTAAAAGCGTTTGTATTTGAATACCAAATTGGTTTCGCGTTGTTTTGCGCTGGAGCCCTAAGAGACTCAATGAAAGTAAGTAAAAATCAATAGTAGATTTATTGTAGGGCGTTTTGTTTGATCATCGCCTGTGTAAAATGAAGGTGTTTTAGTAAATAACTCCTTATCTCGTGTCATTGGCGATATTTAATGTCTATGCTTAATTTAAACTTGCGACATTTTCGCGTTCCGTGAACTTTGTTATGTCTGGAAAGGGCTTCGCTTGAGAAACTTTTGTTTGATTTCTTAAGGAATGAATGATAAAGTTTGCCGAGTTAATTTAAGCGCTTGTTCGCATCATATATTCAAGCATGCTGATCCCTGGCGAATCGTTGTTCAGATAAAACGTCCATATATACGGTCACAGGCATTAAACCAGACCCTTCTATATTTAGCCCTTAATTAACCCATAAGTTTCCAAAATGATAACACGCCATTCTTTATGCCACCCGAGAGAATACTGGCATGCAAATACAGGCGGATTTTTATTAAAGGGCCTCATTTACTTAAGCGGCCAAGACTTTGGCAAGGTTTAGCATGCAAATTTACCACAGCATACTGCTAAAGTATTTCTGTTTTCTTGCGATTGTCTTCACGGGTTACTGATAAGCAATAGAGACATTCTCAAATTGCTGACGCTCTAATAATGATCGTGTTTAGAGGTGAGAGCAACTAACATCTCATTTTACTGCCAACCTCATTAATCTCGAGAGCCCTCAAATCCCATTAAAACTCAACCGGATTTAACATAATTTCGATTAATATGTTGTGTGCATTTGCAAAAGGAATCAATATTTTTATTCCAGATTAAAGAAACTGTGCCCAATTGCTTGACGAGGGATGAAAATATTAAGCATTTTCTTCGTTAAACGCCTAACAAATTGAACTGCAACTTCTTTCAATGGAACTTAATTAGTGAGCGTCGTCATAATCAGTAATTATTTAGGTTAGTGGGTTTTTCGGTCAACAGATGGTGGCAAAAATAAAACACTATTTTTTCATGGGCCCACGTTTCGACTATATTTAAGTCATTCTCAGGTCTCGAAGACTCTGAGGATGATTTAAATGTAGTCGACGGATGCCATTTACTGGGCCGGCAAAAATCAAGATTTTGGGCAATTGATACGAAACTTTCAGCGGTTTTCCACTCAAGTATCGCCTAACGATGGGGAAAATTTCAAGTTGTTACTTGCATTCGTTTGGAAGATACGAATTTTTAAATGAGGAAGCGCAGTTTGTTAAAAGCTTGCACTTTCATCTCCATATTTTCTGGACCGGCAAAAATCAAGACTTTGGACGATTGATATGAAACTTTCATCATTTTTCCACTCAAGTATCGCCTAACGATCGTCAAAATTTCAAGTTGTTACCTACATTAGTTTGGAAGATGCGAATTTTTAAATGAGAAAGCGCAGTTTGTTAAAAACTTGCACTTTCATCTCCATATTTTCTGGGCCGGCAAAAATCAAGATTTTGGACGATTCATATGAAACTTTCAGCATTTTTCCACTCAAGTATCGCCTAA